GACGATCGGGGTCGTGTTACCTGCAAATGTTTCATCACATGCCAGGTCATTAGATGAGAGCTGATGGCTGCGTTTTACTACAGTCAGTTTTAACATGTCGTCACCTCACACATGAAATAAAGTGAATGTTTTGTATAAGTACACGCATGCATTATGATACGCTATGAATATTCCAACGCACAAACATATATATTGTACAAAAGTGTGCATTCTTTGCAGTGTATATATGAAGGTGTTTATTTTTTACATCCTATTTTACACAGTAGTTATAATGGTAATAAATCTCAATACATCGCCCTGAGATAAAATAACCCCCAAACTCTCAATAATCAGTTATTAGGGTAATATATCTCAATACATCGTCCTGACATAATAACACAAAATTTAAATAGCTCATCTGATTAAACATCCGGCTCAATGGTACAGAAATAAAATGTGTCCAAATACCTTAAAGTTTTAATATTTTCACGAAAACAAGTTATGATCATCGAAAACCATTGTATCATATGCCCATTTCATTGTGATAGTATTCCAATGCAATGGTGATAAGCTAACAGGTGCGAAAATAGAGGGTCGTACGAGGTCATCACATTAATGAAACTGCACGGTCTACATCAAGACAGATAATATAGAAGTCAATTCTTAACATATGACAATATTTGAATAACTGATTTTACTGCTCTTAATGCGTCCTCTGATAAGAATATATTACAATAATTTCATGAGTTTGTTTCAGGCTGTTTTGTTGACATTTACGCTATCGAAGTGTTTGTTTCGTAAAGGTAATTTTGAAAATACAGAGAGTAGGAGAGCTGCAGTTGACTCCTGTTAGACAATAACTTGATATCCAGGGTCATCATATTAATAAAACTGCAAGGTTTGCTACGTATTGCTTTGAGGATAACACTGTCAGTCTTGGTGTTTGGATTTTCTGCTCAGGTTGTGCCGTAGTGATGTCCAGATTGTGATGGCCAAACCGATACCGGACATTCCACTGCACTTTCATCTCTTAAAGAGACACGTCCTGATACGAGGGATCCCTGAAAAGTTCAGAATGATATGAGCTGCTAATTATTGTTAACAGGAGTCCCGCCAAGGCCCAATAATTAGGTAGTGGAGTGTAAGGATTCCACTGCATTGATGGAGTTAATTGCTAAATACATTTCACCAATATCCCTCCTTGGTTCACACATTTCTTCCAACCAGGCGAGCGCCTGGATACCATTGGTGTTTGAAGACTTCATCCAGGTTGTGTAAAAGGTCCGCGACAGCAGAAATGATGTCATCCCCATTTGCATATGCTTACTTAAAGTGTGGAAAGAGAGGGAATTCTAAAGGTGCAAATAGTTGTGAATGTGGAGGATGTTCTGTGATTTAAAAGCCATGTCCTGACCAGGGCCTAGATTTTCGAAGCTCTCTTAGCGCTGAGATAGTCGTAAGTGCCATACATTAACATTAACTTACGACAATATTAGCGCTAAGAGAGCTAAAATCTAGGCCCAGGAGTGCAGCCAACAGAATTGTACACAGGGGCATAGTTCTTGTGTGAACAATTAGTGAGATTTCCTTGACATTCTTACGAAGATAACTGTAGACATATACTATATACGTCAGTCCATTAATGGCTTGACTATTCGGGGGCAGTCGACCAGTGGAAGTCATTGTCATCTGATGGAACAGGGGGAGGAGGCGTTGGATTGCCACTACTTTGACATATGTGTCTTGTCTATAGTTGTGAACGCAATATTCAACCATGGTTACAACTCTGTCAACAACATCAGCTGTGCTTTTTCCTACAAAACATCTAACGAGAGATGATGAATCTGCAATGTTTCTGATCAACCAGAAACTTTGAAATCCCACTGCTGAAACATTTGTCATGCCCAGTTCATACCTTCTCAACAGTTACGAGAGATGCCGACTGTATTGACTTTGGTACGCGGTGAGTCTTCGATCATCATGAATCATATCATGTACTGTAACAACATGTTCCTTTGTCGTGTCAGTTGAAGGTCTTCATTGTCTGAAATCCTTGTCAATGGTTTCTCTTCCCCTCTGACTCCCCAAACCCGTGAAGGTCCGGATTAGAATTGATATCAGTAACCTATGCTTGTCGTAACAGGCGACTAACGGGATCGGGAGGTCAGGCTCGCTGACTTGGCTGACACATGTCATCGGTTCCCAATTTCGTAGATCGATGCTCATGCTGTTGATCACTGGATTGTCTGGTCCAGATTCAATTATTTACAGACCGCCGCCATATAGCTGGAATATTGCTGAGTGCGGCTCAAAACTACACTCACTCACTCTGACTCCTCTACCGATCTCTTAACAGAGGTACAGGAAGGAGCATCATCCCAAAGTGTTGGCACAATTGAAGGCTGCTGGAGTTCGTCCTCACAGCTGGAGATACATGATGACAGCGTGGTAGACAGTTTTATGTACCCTATTCAGATGCTTTTCAGTGATCAATTCTTGATAGGTAGTATTGCCTATTTGAGCAAATAATTTAGAGTGATACTTTCTGGCGTCGAGGTTTTCATATTAATATGTATGTAGGTGCATTATGATGTTTCTTATTTGAAACGGTAAAGGTCACGTTAACAAAATCATTTGTGGCCCTCGGTTGAGGTGAGGTGAAATTGGGTTTTACGTCGTGCTTGAGAATATTTCGCTCATATGACGACGTGCATGCGTGTGTGTATGTGTATGTGCGGCTGCTTGTACTAGCCCAGGCTTAAGCTTGTTTTATAGTGCTAGCTATAGTCCACTGAGATACCATGCCGCAGTGAAGCATGAATACCCCACTCAGACACATTATACTGACTCCAAGCCGACCAGTCCTTGTTGTACCCATTAAAGCCGAGCGCCAGGCAGGGACCAACAAGTACCATATTTTAACGTCTTTTGGTATGACGCGGTCGGGGATCGAACCCGCGACCTTCCGCTCTCCGGGCGGACGCTCTAACCACTACACCGCGGAGGCGGTCGGCCATCTGTTGTATATTATGAAGTGAAGGCTGGTGTGTGAGTCAGGTGAAGCGGTTTTCCATATTTTAGTTACAGGTACGTTTCATGTAACGCAAAAGATAATTTGTTTGTTCACGTAAGTCTTAAACGGTGGCACTTGGTTAAAAATAGTGCCGCGTTTATGTCACGTGTCACTTTAGGTCTTCCAGGCTTCAAGTACAGCTCAATGGCTTCCTTTTAGGGCCGCTACGAAAACTGTTAAGCCAAAATGACTGAAGTCGTATGACGTTCGCCTTTGAAGAAATCACATATATTAAATACAGGAAGTGTATATAGTCTTTGATTTATGAAACCAAAAGCTGAAAGAAATTCGTCCATGTCCACGAACAAACTAGTCTTTCCTATTTGGCTGGTCACAGAATGGGGCATGTGTTGGATTTATAGTCACTGACAGTTATTTTGTGAGAAAGTACGAAATGTAAAGCAATCGTATTTCGTTTTATCTTCAAGACCTGTTTCGTTCCGAAAGCACTGTTTGCTTGATAGTTTTTGAACTTCCGGTGTATATTAGAATTTGGTGTCGTTTGACATTTAAAGCAGTGGAAACTACGTACAATCCAACCGAGAAATACTCCATTTGCACCCGAGTCAAATTTGAATTTAAACGGTATACTATGTATTCATGTTTCTTAATAAACATCTTAACACCGAAGACGATGAATTTTATTTGAATCAGAACAGGAGATCTTTTTGTTGTTGATTAAATGAAACCACTCCGGTATTTATTTTTATATCTCAATAAGGACAGATAATATAGAAGTCAATTTTTAACATGACAATATTTGAATAACTGATTTTCAAAGGTTTTATCACCCTTGATGCGTCATCTGATAAGAATATATTACAATAATCTCATGAGTTTGTTTCAGGCTGTTGTGTTGACCTTTACGCTATCGAAGTGTTTGTTTCGTAAAGGTAATTTTGAAAATACAGAGAGCAGGACAGGTACAGTTGACTCCTGTTAGACAATAACTTGATATCCAGAGGGTTGAGTGGGTGAGGTGAAACGCTATTTAGGACATTTCAGTTATATGACTGCATCAGATGGACCTGGGAAGAAACCGCCTCCGTGGTGTAGAGGTTAGAGCGTCCGCCCGGAGAGCGGAAGGTCGCGGGTTCGATCCCCGACCGCGTCAAACCGAAAGACGTTAAAATATGGTACTTGTTGGTCCCTTGCCTGGCATTAATGGGTACAACAAGGACTGGTCGGCTCGGAGTCAGTATAATGTGTCTGAGTGGGGTATTCATGCTTCACTGCGGCGTGGTATCTCAGTGGGCTAGCACTATAAAACCAGCTTAAGTCTGGGCTAGTGCAAGCAGCCGCACATACACATACACACGCATGCACGTCGTCATATGAGCGAAATATTCTCAAGCACGACGTTAAACCCTATTTCACCTCACCTGGGAAGAACTCGCGAAGAGATACAGGTCGTCTTTTTGTTTTTGCCGAAGTCACATGTCCTGACTCGTCTTAACGACTACAATTGCGATTCCTTGGATTATTGTTCTGACCTTGGCGCTACTATGGAACTACTCAATGTATATGCTCGTGTATTAATTAACAATGGAACGTGTGTTTGAGACATATTCCTCCATTCTCAAGAATAGATGTGAGTGAGTATGGTTTTACGCCGGTTTTAACAATATTTCAGAAATATCTGGTAACCAGACAAGGGCTTCACATATTGTACACATGCGGGGAATCGAACCCGGTCCTTTGGCGTGACGAGCAAACGTTTTAACCATGAGGCTACCCCATCGACAACCACATTGTGAAGACTTGTCCGGGGGATAAGCTGTAAAACCCCAAACAGGTCCAGCCCTGGAACTAATCCATTACAGTATACATGTATGACGGCGCCTTGGATGACTCAGGCACACGGAATCTTCCTCTGTCATGACGAATTTCCAAGGCAGGCTGTAAACGTTCTTACCTTGCTCACACAAATAATTTGAAAATTCTTGCAAAAAAATAAACACATTTTATTTCGCATCGCAGCTCACACAACCAGCATGACGTCATTTGTACCGAGTGTTTATGATGTAATAGGGTTCCCCTCCGCCTCCAACTTCGCCTCCAGAATAAACCTTACGTACTGCGCAAGCGCAGCAGCTGCTACTGTCGTCCTGTGACATAAACACCCGTCACTCAAACGTTTCTCCTCCCTCTTCACTCGCAGTGGGTTCCTCTTGAAGTGTACATCATCTGAAATATACACAATATGTTTGCACTATTAGTAATGAACCTTCACCATGAGTCCTTAAACTGCTTATCTGCAAATATGGGTGAGAGAGGTTACCACACTCTGTCTGACTTACCTTGTGCGTAATGTAACTATTTCCATATATATACTAGTACATATTTGCAAATATGGGTGAGAGAGGTTGCTACACTCTGTCTGACTTACCTCTAACTATTTCCATATATATACATACATGTTTCTGTTACATAAAGGATGCACCGTGAAATCCTGCTAGTCTTGGAACTCCGCTATTCAGAGCAATGCTGATTTACATCTTACGACAAATAGAGTAATTTCCTGTCCAATAATTTAAACATCGAGGCATATGTTAACCTGGACAAACCATTCGGAACACAAACGTCTGAACCAGTGAGGGTTCACTGTATCGCTTAACATATGCACTGTTTGAATTTTATGCCAGCTACGGAAAAGTCCATTACTGTGCGTACTGCTTTAATTTAAAATGTCCAATATATTGTAGGCTGTGCACTGCATTTTAATTTAAGTCAATGCCTATATCAATATATCAATGTTTTAGACTATGGACTTGTAGTACAGGTACTGTACTGCATAACATATATTTTTTATACCTTTAAGTCAATGTTATATCAATATAATGTTTAGACTATGGACTTGTAGTATAGGTACTCTACTGCATAACATATATTTTATACCTTTAAGTCAATGCTATATTAATATAATGTTTAGACTATGTACTAGTATTTTAGGTACTCTACTGCATAACATATATTTTATACCTTTAAGTCAATGCTATATTAATATAATGTTTAGGCTATGGATTTGTAGTATAGGTACTCTACTGCATAACATATATTTTATACCATGAAGTCAATGTTATATCAATATAATGTTTCGGCTATGCACTACTATTTCAGGTATTCTGCTGCATAACATATATTTTATACCTTTAAGTCAATGCTATATCAATAGAATGTTCGAGAATTACGTGTATCAATGATGTACATGTATCCATTTTTGGGGATCCATCTCGTACAGCCTGCCCATTTTGGGGAATAGACACAACTCACACTCGATATTTCCTAAAATTAGTGTAACGTATCAAAGAGATACTCACTGATACCAATGTATTAGCAAGCCCACATCAGCCATGCATCAGCACGTCTTTGTGCTTAACTAGGAAATGAATAATTACTTCAATACAACATACATAAGTTTACTTCAGTGGTAAACCCCCACGTCGCCGACGGAAGGTCAACGTCAGACGCCTAGTGATAACAAACGCTAAATTATACTGGGACGTTCACACTCTCTCCACATCAAGGACGTGTAAACATGTTTACTAAACTGTCCCCATGCAACGCTGGCGTAAAATGACATTAATGCACTTGTTTTCAAAGAAAAGAAGTTGATTGTGTGCTGTTGAAAGTGTTCTCTTGCGCGAAGAATCGATCTGAGAATTGTGTAGGGAGATTATCAGACAATAGTCAGCGATTTGGGCTTAAAATTCAGAGATTCTTTGCCCATTTATGAGATTATATTCTCTCGGATGATGGTGACCTTGTTTTATTGCGCGAGCAGACTTCAACGTATTTTGTTTGAAGCCTCCGTTGTGAATTTCAATTCCGCTTTGGTCATCAAATATGTAAGGTTTCATCAACGCCTTGCTGCTACTGAGGCGGGAGGTTGTCAGGAACACGTCCAAGTGTAACAGCTTAACAGAGAGTGAGTTGACACATCTTTTGGCAATAACCCATATGAATCACGTCGGGAGACACGAGGATTTGGATTTAAACGTTAATCCGGTCATTTAAAGTTCCCTGTCCAGGGTGTCTTCACTAAGAGCTATTTCCAGTTGGAATTTGTTGGTCTGAACGAAATCTGTTGACAAATGAATGTTTCCTGGATAATGTGCAAAATACTTCTACAAACGTAGATCGTATATCAACTTAGTTCTTCTGGACTAATTTAATGTACACAACACACATACTACTTTGTGTTCAAATTGAACCGAAACATTTTACATCTGCGTGTGACCGTACCAGCAAGCCTGTCGCCACCGTTACATGGTGAACTAGTGCCAAGAGAGTAATTGCCAAATCAAGACTTTTAGTCATTCGATGAATTGATGCATGTCAAGGTATCCCGGCGAGGTGGAACATCGATAATATCAGTCACATATATGCGCCAGAATCACGTATTTATAGGCCGCCGTCCTATCCTGTCACTTTTGCCAAATAAGATGTGATGTCAGACAAAGAAAACCAAAAGAACACCCCCTCCAAAAACCCCCAAACAACAACAAAAAACCCAAAACAAACAAACCCAAACCAACCAACAAACAAACATACAAGCAAAAAGACCCAAACAAGTAAAACAAATAAAACAAAACAAAATAATACACAAAACAAAACAAACAAACAAAACAACAAAACAAACACACAAACAACAAACCTCCGCCAAGTTCGATTGTGATTACAAAGAAACAAACAAACCTCTGCCAAGTCCATCTGAAGGAGTCCCTCGGAAACATCCAACATTCAGATCTTGCCAGCCAAGGATCTTCTCAAGCCAGTCAGAGTTCACGAACTGCCGGTATCCCAACATTCCACAAAGAGCACCTAAAAAGTACGCCAAAGAGTCATTACCATGTTACAAAACAACGGACTTCCTGTCTCAATCACATATCCACGTCGTTGTGAAAGGAAGCACGTGCGACCCGTCGATGTGCGGATCATAGGTTCTTATGGCAAATTCGCTTTTATTGATCCCTTGTCTGTCAAAGTCTGAACATGCTCGAGGGTTCATCAAAATAAATTACTACCTGGGTCACTTGTACTTTTCTCTTGCATGAAGCTGGAATGCCTGTTGTAACTAAACAATGTTCAAACAGCAGTTAAACGCAACAAAATTAACGAAAGTTACGAAACAGAGACGTTGCAGCAATTCACAATTTACTATAAGGAAAGTTTCAGTTTGTCAAATTATACCCCAAAGCAAAGTAAAAATACATATACCTCGATCATACCATGATATGCCATGGAGCAACATAATTTCTATGGTTACTGGGCTCGCACATTGACTAGTGATAACATTTGACTCATAATCTTTGCACGGGTAGCCCAGTGGGGTAAGGTCCTGCAATTCGCTCTGCAGAACAATATTTCGTCCTGAGTAGGTTCCTTGGTTTGTCAGTGGTAAATGTATGAGACTTGAAACACTTAGAGCTTTCCTCCTACATGCCCTTATTTAACTGGAAGACTATTAAAACCTAACTCACCTACTTACTAGGGGTGGGTATTGCAGAGAATTTTCATATTGCGATATATTGCGATGCGAAAGCATATATTGCGATATGTATTGCAATATATTTCAAGAAGAATTTTAAAACAAAAAACTACGTATAATCGAGTTAATGCTTGATTTATAAAACATGAACACAACACAATCGCTATGCTTGATTAAGCTTTAATAAAACTTTTAATCATAACAATAAAAATGTAAATAATATTTGGCACAACTGAAACAAGGAAATATCCGAAGATTTCCGAGTGTTACGAAGTTTTCCGAATGAAAGTCAAAATACCGGTTTTTGATCAGTGTATCGCAATACGTATCATTTTCATGTCTGAACCGGTAAATACTGGTAAACCGGTTATATTGCGCAGCCCTATTACTTACTCACTTAAGCAATGAAAACTTTGTCGTGTGAAGAGTTAATTATTCTCTCTTTTTGAATTTCCTCTCCCCTTCAGCTGACATGCCGTGAACAGCTGAAATGCTGTTCAAAGCAGTGTTTAACCCAACTCATGACCACTCACAAGTGCAAACTTTGGCATGAATAGTACCTAATGTCAAGCCTTGTTCTTAGGAGAGTAACTCAATGAACAAATGCTTTACCATAAAGACTTAACCAATGACAAGCACTATACTTAGAACAGTAAAGTGAGTGAGTGAGTGAGTTTAGTTTTACGCCGCACTCAGCAATATTCCAGCTATATGGCGGCGGTCTGTAAATAATCGAGTCTGGACCAGACAATCCAGTGACCAACAGCATGAGCATCGATCTGCGCAATTGGGAACCGATGACATGTGTCAACCAAGTCAGCGAAACTGACCACCCGATCCCGTTAGTCGCCTCTCACGACAAGATATAGAACAGTAAAGCAACGACAAACATAATGAGTTAACTAATGCAAAACTTTGAAACGATAACAAGCATTTTACCATGAAGAGTTAACCAATGACAAACCTTGTTCTATGACAGAGTAGAAACGATGACAAACATTTTACCATGAAGAGTTAACCAATGACAAACCTTGTTCTATGACAGGGTAGAAACGATGACAAACATTTTATCATAAAGAGTTAACCAATGACAAACCTTGTCCTATGACAGAGTAGAAACGATGACAAACATTTTACCATGAAGAGTTAACCAATGACAAACCTTGTTCTATGACAGAGTAGAAACGATGACAAACATGTTTACTATAATGAGTTAACCAATGACAAACCTTGTTCTATGACAGAGTAGAAACGATGACAAACATGTTTACTATAATGAGTTAACCAATGACAAACCTTGTTCTATGACAGAGTAGAAACGATGACAAACATTTTACCATGAAGAGTTAACCAATGACAAACCTTGTTCTATGACAGGGTAGAAACGATGACAAACATTTTATCATAAAGAGTTAACCAATGACAAACCTTGTCCTATGACAGAGTAGAAACGATGGCAAACATTTTACCATGAAGAGTTAACCAATGACAAACCTTGTTCTATGACAGAGTAGAAACGATGACAAACATGTTTACTATAATGAGTTAACCAATGACAAACCTTGTTCTATGACAGAGTAGAAACGATGACAAACATGTTTACTATAATGAGTTAACCAATGACAAACCTTGTTCTATGACAGAGTAGAAACGATGACAAACATGTTTACTATAATGAGTTAACCAGCGACAAACCTTGTTCCATAAAGAGATCTTGTTTGGGTGGAGGGTAATCGTTTGCCGCTAGGAGGCGCGCTTCAGACAACATGTTAGCACAGAATTTCTCTCTTTGGCTCTCCAGCGACGCCTGGTGGTGGGTGAGGACTTTCCACAACATTTGGGGGAGGCAACCGAACTGAAACGATGAAGGCAGACATTGTTATGTAACCAATTCCATGTTGTAACAAGAGAATAACATCATAAATGTGATGTCAGCTTTTCAATTTCTGTGTTCTGTATAGCATCACGTTTTTCTCATCACTGGACACAATTTGCTGGTTACATGTTTAAGATCCATCCAGATATATTATAGACGGCAATGGGGTTCTTTCCCATGATAATTCAATAAAAGCAGTTTTCATCACTGAAAGGGAAGGATTTGTTTATCTGACATTGACTTTTTTTGTTTGAGGTCTTCTGTCGATGTCAAGACTATCCTTTCGAGCAATACACGATATTTAAAAAAGAATTAGTGGAGAGATTGTTCCAAACTGATTTTTTTCCATGTTGTCGGAAAATTGCTGATTTCGGCATTGAACAAGCAACATATTGGCAAATGCTTCTTCATTTACGTATATTTGTCAATCAGCAATTTTCCAGCAATATGACCGAGGTCTGGAAATAGGCGATTCTGGACAAGACAATCCAGTGATTGGTATCATGAGCCAGGACGACACTCACTCATCGGAGTTACAGAGCCCATATGACAATTGTAAAATACACAAACACATGTTTTACAAAAACATCATATACACACTTGTCTCAAAATCGAATAGATACATAGATATCTATACTGATACATATACTCAATAATGGTTGCCACCCTCTTCAATTTTTTTTATTGGAGAGGGGGTGTGGGGTGTGTCTGGGTTTGGGGTGGGGAGGGGGACAACCATTATTGGCATGAGTATATGTACAAAGCATATTATAAATACAATTTTTCACTACCGTTGAAATTATTTATGTCGTGCACAATAAAGCTTAAAAATAGAAATATGTATTTACCAAGATTTACAATAGTTGATTGACAAGTTTGTAATAAAATTCAATACGGACGTAGACTTAACTCTATCGGTTATCCATTGAAACCGTTTCCATTTGGCAAAATGGAGGAGACTAATATTTGGATGAAAATCAGTGATGTCACCAGGTGTTCGCGAAATGTGTGCCCCACAAAAACCTAGTAGCAGCCATAACGCCCTAAAATATTGTTTGTTCTTTTTGCTATGACACCACATACCAACCCAGACAATCAAGAGATTGACCTTTGAATTTTCCGTGACACGAAGGCTGGTTTATTGGAAATCATTTACTGGTTTCAATCAAATTAAAAACGAGATTTTAGTTTTGAATTACGTCTGCCGTGTACAAGTGCAGAGAGTTTGCAAAAATATAAATAACCCGTACAAGTGCACCGACGTACGTGGTTATGTACATAAATGTTACAAAGATGAGAGCAGGTACTCTTGAAGTACCGTTATCTTTCATGCATCCAGAAAAGTGTTGATATCCTTAACCTATCCAGACAAACAGACTGCGCTGACAGATCAACTTGGCTGGTGGGAGATGAGACAGTTTTTAACCTGCAAAAAAAAACTGTACCTTGTCATGTATTGCACATGCATGAGCTAAACGGGTACTTTTCTCTCCATTACCTTCAATTTTTCAATGTTCTTTGAATTTTTGATAACCTACATAACGTGGTGGCCTTATATTCTTCTATAGTGGTTCTCGATCTCAGTACTCATGAAGATCCGGGTTAGAAGGGGTCTTCAGCAACCCATGCTTGTCGTAAAAGGCAGCTAACGGGATTGGGTGGTCAGGCACGCGGACTTGGTTGACACATGTCATTGTATCCCAATTGAGTAGGTCGATGCTCATGCTGTTGATCACTAAAATGTCTGGTCCAGACTCGATTATTTTCAGACCGCCATATATTTGGAACATGGGTGAGTGTGGTGTTAAACAAACAAACAAACAAACAAAACTGAGTTCTGAAATCTCATCAATAGAATTGCGTAGATCGATGCTCATGCTGTTGATCACTGGATTGTCTGGTCCGAATTATTTACAGACCGCTGCCATATAGCTGGAATATTGCTCAGTGCGACTACCTGCGCGTTGCCAATACATAACTTTCATTTAGCTGAAACGATGGACCAGTATATACTTTCAGCGTGAAGCATAAGAAGAGACGTTATGTATAGAGGGATCCGCCGTGTACGTGTACAGGCTAATGTACTGTTTACTGGCCACTAATGACTCCCCAGCAGGTCAAGCAGGCACCCCCGGGAACTAGACTGCCCCAAGGCGGAGGGATGGAATAATGGCGTACCTGCTGTGTAGGCACATCGACTGCAGACTGGTCTTGTAAATAATAACTACTAGTTAATAATCTGGAACAGTTTTGGTTAGAAGCATCACCTGTGACCTTTCCCTGTATAGAGATCAAAGGCCCCAGATCATGCCATCGTCTTCTGTTTAAGGAAACTGACCAGAGGCCAACGGTAATGGGAAGGTTGTCATGTATAGACATAGATTCCACACCGTGTCCGTTTCATTAGTGACAATTACAAAGTGAGAGAAAAGAATTCACTGCAAATGCTGAGTATTCAGAAAATAGTGATTTACCCACAATTTTCAAAGCTTGAATTGTTTTCTTCCATAAAAGATAACGTCCAGTACTACAACTGCATTAAATTGATGTCAAAATATATGGAACGAATATTGTAAAATTGCTCGGATCCAACCACGGTCTTCTAGTCTTCTAATACCAAGACATGAACGGCTATGCCCATTGTGTATTACCCCAAAAGTTGAACCCGTGAAGATCCGGGTTAGTTGATCTTCAGTAACCCATGCTTGTCGTAAGAGGCAACAAACGGGATCGGGTGGTCAGGCTCGCTAACTTGGTTGACACATGTCATCGGTTCCCAATTGCGTAGATCGATGATCATGCTGTTGATCACTGGATTGTCTGATCCAGATTCAATTATTTACAGACCGCCACCATATAGCTGGAATATTGCTGAGTGCGGTGTAAAACTAAACTCACTCACTCAGCAAAAGTTGAGGATGAAATCCACTTTTGTTTAGTGTGCCCATTATATTCAGATTTGCTCCAGTCTTATTCCACAATATCAGTATCTGTTCCCAATTCTTGGCAAAATATTTTTATTATTTTGCAAGTAACAAACATAATGTCTGTAATAAACTTCCAAAATACGTATTTCTCGCTTTGAAAAAACGTAATTCCTTTTTTAAGAAAAACCTTCTGTTAAGCAACATCGTGTATAGATTGTATTGTCTTGCCTATACCATATACTGTCAATGTATAATTTAGTAATGTTTGTTCTCAGCGCTCCTGTCAAACAGTCGTTATGATGCTCTGTACCTGTAAAATGGACCGGTGGCCCCTGTACGTGTATAAAAACTAGTGGTGGGAATTGGTTAAAATCTCATAATTGATGATTGGTTCATAACCACCGATCAATCATCGAAAATAATTGGTCAGCGTCATTTATGAAATTTGTTAATGCACAAAAAATAAGGGAAAAAAACATGTAGTTATTTTGAGGTTTTGGGGCAAAATTTCACATCTATAAAGGATGACTAGTATGTTAGGAACATACATTTCTTGGTGTCTTTAAGATAAATTCAATCATGACTTGGAACGAGCTTGTAGTGGTTATGAAATGCAACAGACAAAACCAGCCTTGTGAAAGATATTGTTGATGAAAACAAGTGTTCAAGAATTGTTTGTGTTCGATTATGAGAAAACATGATCGATTGCTTGGTCGTTTAGTCACTATGACCAATATTCGATTATTTCAATTAATCGGATCACCACTAATATAAACATGATACTAACCACATAAATAGTTTTGGCTTTCCTTTTTAAAGTTATAAAATCGAAGGTTTTATTTCAAGTTTAGGTTTAAAATTGCTTTTGAGCGCACGGTGCTCAAATATTTACTGGAAAAGAAAACAATAGAATATGTTACTTGGTTTGTCCTTTACGAGGGCATATTGTCATTCTGATGTCATCAGAAGGATGACTGACCTCATCCGTGGTCTAGTGGATAGAGCGTCTGTCAAGTGAACGTCAGTGGTTCGATCCCCGGTTACGTCATACCGAATGACGTTTAATGCAGGCACTTGTTGTTACCCTGTCTGTCGTACTAAGTGTAAGAAAACAAGGGTATGACATGAAGGTTTCAGTGTTGGCTTCAATAGAGTTTTACTCACCCGTTCTCCTATTTCGAGGTAGAATATCTCGTGTGACAGTGAGTATCCACTGTAGCCATCTGCCGTCATCATCCGCCAGCACTTGTCTGATATATGACACTCCTTCTTACTGGTCTTGCTGCAGAAACAGACATGTATGGGGTTCAGTGTTGAGTTAAAAATTATGAATATGAAAACATGACTAATTCTTTAGGGTCGTGGGCTTCTTTGGGAGGGTGTGGTTGTGGTGGATGTGGGTTTAAATATGTGTGTGGGGTGTGGTGGGTGGGGGTGGATGTGGATTTGGGTATAGGTGTCTTTATGATTGTGTGTGTGCCTATGTGTGTGGTTCTGCCGATGTGGATGCAGACGTGGACTTCGGTAAGGATGTGGGTGTATATGTGTGTGCAGATGTTGATATGGAAACTGGTGTTAATATTGGAGCGGATGAAAGTGTGGGTGTGGATATGGATTCAGGTGTGGGTGTGGATGTGGGTGTGGATGTTGATGTAGCTGTTGATATGGGTGTGGGTGAGCATTAACCTTAATATACCGGGAATAAAAAGTTAAGCGCCAGCCTATTTCAAAACTAAGATGTGAAGCTGTGGAAATGTTAGGCTAATATAATTGGGAAGACCAATCCATATTTAGAGAAGGCTCATCTGGTAACTGATTTAGGGATATCATAAACATTTGTATTTACAATTAAAGGAAATATTGTTAAAGATATGATGGCACTGCTTTTTATAGTAAAATAACCATCCCTAATCTGCTCATACAACACTATTAAACGTAGGTTTCACTTGTCAAAAATGACAATCATGTGACCATATAACAGTCATTTCTGATTTTCACTTTTCAAAAGAAGGTAACCTTTTTGAGGAAAACAAAATGCATGTTTTCCAAAGCGCATACATCCTGTTTAAAGTAAAAGATAATTTCCATAATGGTTTTGTTTTTAAACTAAACGTACTAAACCAAATTATGATAGTTGTTTTTTTCTGAAAGATTTCTTATGAGACAACCTATATTGGCAAAATATACTGGGTGGCGCTTAACTTTTTATTCACAGTATATATATATATGCAGGTGTGGTCGTTTTGTGTGCGTGTCCATATGGCTGCGAATATTGGTATTAGATGATTGGTATCCATCGTGAGGGAGTAAGAACTACACACTGAATACGATTGATACAACAATTCCTCATATTACAGCTGATACATAATCTCCCCTTTTTATGTGTATCACCCCCAAATGGCATTCAAAGACTATTGGCATTAGATCCCTGTGGCGAGGGAGTAAGTGTGATACCGAGATCATTGCCATTAAAAAATAATGTCAAACAATATGTCATCCAGCCCCGTCACTTTCAACCTTCATAATGAAAACTGACTGATAATACCGGTAATAACATTCTGAGATACACTTCATAATTTCCATTGACAACAACCAACTTCACTTGCGCAATTAGACCCATCTATCTGCACAAACAGATAAGTTATTTTTGCAATGTTTTTGTTATTACCAAGCCAACTTGCCCTTGTTCTGTCTCATGTAAATGCAAGTGACAAGGACGGTGCCACGGCAAATGACCTAAAGCTTTAATCTGTCGAGAACGGTAATCTCCTTGATCCCACTAATCCCCCTGAATGAATGGCAGTGAGTCAGAGCTTCTCAAGTCGGGCGGCATTATGACAGAGCTCTTCCTGTTAGTCTCTCAGGACTTGTTTGAGACGGGGGCCTCTGTTCTGTAGCAGATGTCTGTAATTGTTAGAATATGCTGACGACAGCACAATACCTGCGTTCTTGCTGCAGTGGAACCGTTGATTAATGTTGCTCCAGATTCATGACTACACAACACCCTGTTTGAAAATATTTCAAGGACATGCGCTTTATTGAATCATATATAACGAACTATACGACTCTATGAAAAACAACTTCTTGTTTATTTTGCACAAAGCGACGTTTCGATATAGATTCTTACATCGTTTCACGATAATGGTGTAAGAATCTATATCGAATTCAAAACGTCACTCTATGTAATAAAGAAGACGTTGTTATCCATAAAGTCGTATGTTAAATCATTGACCAACCAAAACATCTGTTGGTTAATAGTTTGTTCTAATAGTGCCCAATGACCAACATGGTCTATAGTTTGTTCTTATAGTATGTAATGTCAAACATGGTCAATAGTTTGGTCTAATAGTTTCCAATGATCAACATAGTCAATAGCTTCTTCTTATAGTATCTAATGTCAAACATGGTCAATAGTTTGTTCTTATAGTATCTAATGTCAAACATGGTCAATAGCTTGTTCTTATAGTATATAATGTCAAACATGGTCTATAGTTTGTTCTTATAGTCTACAATGACCAACATGGTCTATAGTTTGTTCTTATATTATGTAATGTCAAACATGGTCAAAAGTTTGTTCTAATAGTGTCCAATGACCAACATGGTCTATATAGTTTGTTCTTATATTATGTAATGTCAAACATGGTCAATAGTTTGTTCTTATAGTATCTAATGTCAAACATGGTCAACAGTTTGCTCTTATAGTATCTAATGTCAAACATGGTCAATAGTTTGTTCTTATAGTATCTAATGTCAAACATGGTCAATAGTTTGTTCTTATAGTATCTAATGTCAAACATGGTCTATATAGTTTGTTCTTAATAGTTTGTTTGTTCTTATAGTATCTAATGTCAAACATGGTCAATAGTTTGTTCTTATAGTATCTAATGTCAAACATGGTCAATAGTTTGTTCTTATAGTATGTAATGTCAAACATGGTCAATGATAGTCCAAATGATGGTCTATAGTTTGTTCTTATATTATGTAATGTCAAACATGGTCAAAAGTTTGTTCTAATAGTGCCCAATGACCAACATGGTCAATAGTTTGTTCTTATAGTATCTAATGTCAAACATGGTCAATAGCTTGTTCTTATAGTATTTAATGTCAAACATGGTCAATAGTTTGTTCATATAGTATCTAATGTCAAACATGGTCTATAGTTTGTTCTTATAGTATCTAATGTCAAACATTCTCAAAATAGTTTGTTCTTATAGTATCTAATGTCAAACATGGTCTATAGTTTGTTCTTATAGTATCTAATGTCAAACATGGTCAATAGCTTGTTCTAATAGTGTCCAATGACCAACATGGTCAATAGTTTGTTCTTATAGTGTCCAATGACCAACATGGTCAATATTTTGTTCTTATAGTGTCCAATGACCAACATGGCCAATAGTTTGTTCTTATAGTGTAATAGTGTCCAATGACTAACATGATCAATAGTTTGTTCTAGTAGTGCCCAATGACCAGCATGGTCAATAGTTTGTTCTAATAGTGTCAAATAACCAACATGGCCAATAGTTTTTTTTATAGTATCTAATGACCAACATAGTCAATAGTTTGTTTTTATAGTATGTAATGACCAACATGGCCAATAGTGTGTTCTTATAGTGCCCAATGACCAACATGGTCAATAGTTTGTTCTAATAGTGTCCAATGACCAACATGGTCAATAGTTTGTTCTAATAGTTTCCAATGACCAACATGGTCTATAGTTTGTTCTTATAGTATGTAATGACCAACATGGTACATAGTTTGCTCTTATAGTTTGTAATTACCAACATGGTCAAAAGTTTGTTCTTATAGTGTCCAATGACCAACATGGTACATAGTTTGTTCTAATAGTGCCCAATGGCCAAAATATAGTAGTATACTCATTATTTGATCGACATTTCAGAACGATTTGTTTATTTCCTTGTTGTTTAACGCCTCACCCATCGTTCCACTTGTATGACACCGGTCTATAAATAATCGAGTCTGTTCCAGAAAATCTGGTGATTGACGTGGGGAGAATCGATCTACGCCTGTAGTCGCCTGTTACAACAAGACAGGGTTGCTGAAAATATAGACAGTTTGTGCAAAGGAATACCCAGACTTGACTATCCTCAGAAACAATAAGGGCAAAGTAGCTGTATAAATTATATGAAAGGATCACTGAATATCAGTGATTACATAAGGCAAAGGGTAATGTCCTGTCCAACAGATTGCACCCACCACTCATAACATTTGCCTTAAATGGAACAAGACTTTCTTGCGGCCTGTAAACAAACCAGAAAACCAATTCCAACAGGTCTTCACGGATAGGACGTTTTGCATAATATGACATTAATTGTTCTCTATGAAAGAAGTCTTCTATTATGTGTTTTGAAATGACGCGCTATGAAAAGTGACGGTATTTTCTACGACGTGATTTTATGTGACCGTTTTCTTACATGAGATTGTGTTCAGGGCAGATGTTCTATGACAATCCGTTCAATGACATTTTGTTCTTTGTCAGCATGTTCTGACTGTTCTATGATTGATCTGTGACAATGCAACGTGAGTATGTTCTGTGTGTGTTTCTATCTCAATATGTGTGTGTTTCTATCAGTATGTGACGGCATGTCCTGTGGGTGTGTTTCTATCAGTATGTGATGGCATGTCCTGTGGGTGTGTTTCTATCAGTATGTGATGGCATGTCCTGTGGTGTGTTTCTATCAGTTCTATCAGTGGGTGTGTTTCTATCAGTATGTGATGGCATGTCCTGTGGGTGTGTTTCTATCAGTATGTGATGGCATGTCCTGTGGGTGTGTTTCTATCAGTATGTGATGGCATGTCCTGTGGGTGTGTTTCTATCAGTATGTGATGGCATGTCCTGTGGGTGTGTTTCTATCAGTATGTGACGGCATGTCCAGTGTGTGTGTTTCTATCAGTGGCATGTCCATCAGGTGTGTTTCTATCTCAATGGGTGTGTTTCTATCTGTATGTGATGGCATGTCCTGTGGGTGTGTTTCTATCAGTATGTGATGGCATGTCCTGTGGGTGTGTTTCTATCAGTATGTGATGGCATGTCCAGTGGGTGTGTTTCTATCAGTATGTGATGGCATGTCCAGTGGGTGTGTTTCTATCAGTATGTGATGGCATGTCCTGTGGGTGTGTTTCTATCAGTATGTGATGGCATGTCCAGTATGGGTGTGTTTCTATCAGTATGTGATGGCATGTCCAGTGGGTGTGTTTCTATCAGTATGTGATGGCATGTCCTGTGGGTGTGTTTCTATCAGTATGTGATGGCATGTCCAGTGGGTGTGTTTCTATCAGTATGTGATGGCATGTCCAGTGGGTGTGTTTCTATCAGTATGTGACGGCATGTCCTGTGGGTGTGTTTCTATCAGTATGTGATGGCATGTCCTGTGGGTGTGTTTCTATCAGTATGTGATGGCATGTCCTGTGTGTGTGTTTCTATCTCAATATGTGACGGCATGTCCTGTGGGTGTGTTTCTATCAGTATGTGATGGCATGTCCTGTGGGTGTGTTTCTATCAGTATGTGATGGCATGTCCAGTGGGTGTGTTTCTATCAGTATGTGATGGCATGTCCAGTGGGTGTGTTTCTATCTCAATATGTGACGGCATGTCCTGTGGGTGTGTTTCTATCAGTATGTGATGGCATGTCCTGTGGGTGTGTTTCTATCAGTATGTGATGGCATGTCCTGTGGGTGTGTTTCTATCAGTATGTGATGGCATGTCCTGTGGGTGTGTTTCTATCAGTATGTGATGGCATGTCCAGTGGGTGTGTTTCTATCAGTATGTGATGGCATGTCCTGTGGGTGTGTTTCTATCAGTATGTGATGGCATATATTTATTTTGATATATAATCGAGGCCTCGAGATATGTTACGAAGAACAAATGGTTGTTTAACTGTTTGAAACACAATATATAGATGTGTAAATATGCATGCATTCTTTGTTTGGCCTTTCTCAGAGAGTTTACCACAATATATAGGCACTGTAACACACGTCGTGACACAGCAGTCGGTGAATGAGTTTGGTCTAACGCCGCTTTTAACACGGTTTCATTTACTGTCACCACTGCCAAGAAAATGTGTCTTTTGGGAATATTTTTGAAAAGGTTATAACCCGTCAGCTCCTCTCCCAGATATCAATGGATTTATGAAATAGAAGACAATGGATTTATGAAATGAAGAAGCTCCTGTGGAAACACTCTAGAGGATCATTTCCATTATTCCCTTCAGTGTCCTCTGTATGATAGATTCAGATTTAACAAATACTTTTTTCAAAATAATATAAGTTTACATGCTTTTCTAAGCGGCGATGAATCTTTGTCTCAGTATGAAAACGAATTGATAATAAAATCTGTTTATAATTTCTTGAATGATACCTACCGTTTTTCATAAAGTGTGGTACCATATTTAGTTTGTAATTTTTGAATTATGAAAACATTTGTCAGCGCATTTTCTGTATTTCCACAAATGCATACTCATTCGTTATGTTTAGGAGAAACATTTGTATAGGGTTTTGCAGCCTGTTTGCTGATTCTTTTCTCTTTTGTATATTTTTCTTTATTGTATAGTACATATCTTTCGGGAAATATAATAATGTTTAAATCAAACAGAAGAATCAGTTTTACCGGCCTTTGCTTTTCTCCAGCTCCGGTGGGTAAATTACAGAAACGGAACTGGGTGTTTAACCATTACTGAACTATATCAGATCATCGATATCACGGGTGCAAAGGCTCATGAATTGGAGAAAACCCCTTCTTTTAATTTTGCCAATTTGAGCCAAAATTTCGATCAATATGCTAAGCGAACAGATCAACAATGTTGGAGGCACAGTTTGTGGGAATTCCTATTTTGGGTTAATGTTCTCTCCACGCATTTCGCTACAGATGGAATCTGAGAAACCGTCCAACGTGTCCTGAGTCCTGACACATGAAGCGCTGCCTCCGAGAAACAGAAACCCAAAGTTGAGTGGTCACCAGACAAAAGAGGGATTAATCCAATAAATAAATTAGCGACAAGTTATGGCAGTTAAGATGATGAATAATTCCTATGTGAGTCGCGTTACACCCGGGTAGTCGAATGGATATAGTGGCTACTGGGACAGCGGATAGTCGTAGGTTCGATCCTTTGGACCCATCATGCCAAAACGTTACAATATGGTACTTATTGCAACATTCCTTAAAGTTCGGAACTTTGTGATAAAGAAAGGACTGGCCGGCTGGTCGTCAGTTTTCTGTGTCTCTCAATGTAGATTATCCATGTTAGAACTACGGTATGGTATCCAAATATGCTGACACTGTTATTTTCGGTTAACGCCACACACAGGCCTAGTCAAGCTCTATAACGGTGGTCATTAAACAAACAAACAAACAAACAAACAAAACAACAAACTTGCGGGACTAGTGGACATCCATAACGTATTCCATACCACAGATAATGTGTTTGTGTATAACCTACAAACAAATGTTTTGTGATATATTTACTACCCATCAAAAGTAAGGCCTTTCACTATATGTTATGTATATATATATGTGGTTACATCAAAGATGAATTTCTCCAGTAACTTGGGGGAACCAACAGTTATTACTGTAAACCTTATGCAGATAAATTGCACGAGGATCATGCATTGAATTGCTGAAAAGCATGTGCAAATATCGTGCATGTGAATAGCTGCGTTTTGGTGTAAAGTTTTGTTAAGAATTTTCGCCAATTTTCACTGAGTTTCATCATTTATTGAACTCATGAGAATAAACCCTTCAACGCTACGAATGTGTTATACAATACATCAGTTCATGTGTAAACAATACCTTTAAACGGTATGGAATACTTTGCAAAATCTAGTTTAGAACAGTTGCCTGAAGCAAATGGCTACATTTACACTAGTGAGTCTAAACCTTTGATGGGTAGTATATAATTCTACAAGAACGTGTACCCTGTTCCGAAGAACTCCGTGAGGCAGTCGTCGGAATCCTGCTCATGCATCGTCTCCTCCAGCTTGTACTCCCATATCGGGATGCTGGCATCTATGTCACGACTTGGGTAGTCCAGCTCCCAGAATCCATCAGCCAAAATGTCGCCAATACCTATAACAGTGACAAGTAAAATCCTTAGATCCTCCATACTCGCCTTCACAGACTGAACAGGTTACAGTATCCAATATCTGAAGGGGTTTTGGGTTGAGGAGGTATTTGGAAGTGTGGGGCTTGGAGTTGGTATTTGGGGCAGAGATAGGGCTGGAATATTTGTTTTGATGTTTCTCTATCTCAGCACACTTCACTCTTAGTTAAGGCCAAGGTCATTATATTCGATTTTACCAATTTTTCTACATGCATTAAGCTACGCTTATAACGAGCACACGTATAACGAACTGACGGCTATAACGAACTGTTATTTTGTTTAACCACTTAAGCATGCTGAATTTTTTCATCACAATACGAAATAACAAAGGGCGATTATAACGAACTAAATGTAGGGGTCATTCATTTGTTATAACCGTTGTTTACTGAAGGTGTGCATGCATATCCTAACACACCATTGTACACGTACAACGTAAAATCAGGAATGGTTTATGAATACAGAAACAAAGCAACAAAATAAAGTCATTACCCTATGGAACTCGCTAGATGCCAAAATATTCTGCCGGGCAAAAGAAAGTATACCCTCGTGTTTGATGCAGGCTAAGGAGGAAACACAAGTAATGGTTATTCAGTCCTGATGTGCTTCTTACAGTATGTGTTGTGGATCCGTGAAGATCGGGGTTAGAATTGGTCTTCAGTAACCCATGCTTGTCGTAAGAGGCAACTAACGGGATCGGGTGGGCAGGCTCGCTGACTTGGTGGACACATGTCATCGTGTCCCAGTTGCATATATCGATGCTCATGCTGTTGATCACTGGATTATTGGGTCCAGACATGATTATTTTACAGACCGCCGCCATAAAGCTGGAATATTGTTGTGTGCGGCGTAAAACTAAACTCACTTTAGGTTTGCTGTGCTTCCGCAACTGTTTTCAGCCTAATAACGTTTAAACGTTTTTAATGTTTTGGTCGCATCGAGTTTTCGAACGTTTACTTCCTCTTGCCCGGCAACGTCTCTTTAGCACGGTAAAAATCTATTGCTTAAGTGAATCAGTATTTTTGTTTTAAAAACTAACATTACACATATCTATTTTCTACATCACGTTTCTCAGGTGTTAATGGCCGTTTTTGACGTATGTTAGCCAGGCGTAGGAATATTACCCTGACGTCACTCAAACGTCAAACCAGATTTTGTTTACGGAGCACTAATTTGCCAGTACCATATGCCCCGAGAAGAGTATAAGTTAAGGGAATTAACTCGTGTTGGATAAAAAGGCCAGTGAGGGGCTTGAATTACAACGATCTACCAGCATGGTAAAATCAGCACCTTTCATTCAATTAGGTTCCCGTGGAAATGGCAGACCGACCGGCGGCATCCGGAGGGAAATCAGGACAACTACTACGGCAGATGCGATACGAGGAACCTATATGCCAACGTGGCATATCTTCCCTCTGCGGAACAAATGAGCATGTTTGAATGGAGATTCATTATTGACATCCATTGCGGTGGTCCATCTCCTTGGCTGCTCGTTGTTTCAGAACAAATTGATGTAACATCAGTTGTGGAGCGTAAATTATTTACCAGGTTCTATACAGTCTGTTCTGATGTTGTGCATTGTCGGAAGCCAGAAGATGTTTCTTCGGTTGGGTATTTCATCGTACATGCATTTTAAATGCCGGAGTTCAACGGGTAGGGACATCTATATTTTAGTGCTTCAAACAATTGTGGCTAATCCATAATAGAACCACTTTGTGTCTTGAAGACACACTTCAAGGACCTTCTCTACATACACATTAACAACATATGTGGATTTCTTGAAAGTCGTAGAATTAGTGTGAAAGAAAAAGCAATAAAGCTAAGTAGGGTTCGAAGCGGACGTTTGAGGCGTGAAACGTCAAGTCAATTTGATTGTCACCGTTTACACACCGTAATGAACAAACTATTGCATACAAACTGTGACGGTCTTATTGACTTGGACATCACATGAATTTTATCTGGCATCCACAAGCAAGGTCTAAAGATAGCCACGGACTTGACGTGCCATGACGCGGAAGACGTTGTCAGAATTGGTCAGATGTCTCATTGACCAGTTAGGAAATGAAGCTGGTGTCATGTTGTATCTCTTGGTCTTGATAGATAAGTGTGACTATTGACGATAAATATTTCTTGATTCTTGATAAACGAAATAACTCAGTTAAACCAGTTACGCGTAACGCTGTAAACGCCGCATCAGGTCAAGGTCAACGGTTATCCCAATTTAGGAGACATCGTTCAATACATGGTATTTGTGCGTGACTGAATGAGTATGGGTTTACGATTTTAGCAATATTCCAACAATGTCACGGTGTGTGTGTGTGTGTGTGTGTGTGTGTGTGTGTGTGTGTGTGTGGGGCACCAGAAATGTGCTTCACACATTGTACCCATGCGGGGAAAAGAACCCAGGTCATCAGCGTGACGAGCGGACGCTTTAACCATTAGGCTATAAGTACAGCATACCACCGAGCGAACTGTCGAAACACTGTTATATTTTCCTAACTATAACACGGGTTTTACGTCCAGAAAGGGAAATCCATCTTGACGTATTTTATCACGTGTTATTTTGGGTCTTCAAGTCAGTGGGTGTCACTCTAAAGCTTCTCTAATGCATAACCTTGACAGAGCACAATGAAGAGTCCATTTGAAAATACAGATAGATGAAACCAACGGTACTACTCACGTCTATAGTAGCTGGGCGTGGCCTCGGCAACATAGGGAGTGGCATCGCCACTGACCTTCCTGGCCAGATCTCTCAGCTGCTTGATCTGTTGTATTTGTCCCACGGGAACACTGGGAAAAAGGGCATCTCTGTCCAGCTTCCGAAGCAAAACGTTTAGTGTACCTGTGTAAGAAAAATAGTGGCGTCACAATACTATAAAATAATCAGTTATCCCCAAAGGTCATACAGGCACTAGACTTTCAGGCAAATCGCTATAAGCGATTATTGGGCACAATGCGTGTGTCATTATAACAATTGTAAGGGTTCATGATTCTCACAGGTCCCTCAGTAAACACATGAAACTGGCACTGCCTAAGGGGTAGCCGCGCATTGTCATATAACGAGGCACAAACAAGTCAACGTTATCGTATTGTGACGTTATCGTAATGTGAATAAACGACATTTTGTATCCGAAAATATAAACACCAGTGCAAAATATAAAATATAAACTACCATCACTTGATAAAGTAATCAATAATATTTCTTGTGTACATTATCTGTTTCAATTCAACTATGTACATCAACCCCATCCATAGTTTAACATCCACCTGGCTTCCTATCAGTTGTATAAGCTCTGAATATAAGCTCAGTCTTTGGATGACACCCTACTGGCTTCCTATCAACTTACTCAATGTCTTATACAAGCGTTGTACATCAACCTCATTTATTGTATAAACAACTCATTCCCTATCTACTGTAATAACAACTCATGTATATATTGTCTCAATTTGTTACTCATGTAACTTGCTTGACAACGACATTAGAATCTATGTCGAAACGTCACCTCCATAGAATAAAAGAAGTTGTATATCCATAATAATTGTCATTATTCTTCATCAACTCAACTTCTAAAATGCCCATCAAACACGTAATACATTCTCTCGACTATTCACAGAAAGAAATTCCACATTATGTAAAGGGGAAAAACTATATAAATTGTCCACCTAATATCTGTGAAGACATCAGGTGTCATGTCAGTGGACCACCTAATCCCGTTAGTCGCCTCTTATGCAAGCATGGGTTGCGAAAGACAAATTCTAACCAGGCTCTTCATGGGTGTCAGTAGTGTAAGAGAAGAACGTTATTCAGTTCAGATGTAGTGCACGTACGGCGAACAAATCTAGATGATAGAAGCTCACATCGATAACATCAAGGTGAGCTAATATATCCGATGGAGCGTATGATCAAAAAGAAATTGAAAAATGCAATTGACCGATTATAACTAATCCGTTTTTGCGTGCAAGTTCAGGAAGATCAAAAGAGTTTGTCGTGTTGAAACGCCTTGATGAAATAATCTCTGAACCAAATAATTTCATTAATTTACTATTTAAATTAAGCACGATAACTTATCAAAATGATTGCGTCAATGATTTTATATCTATTTATGTATATCCCGTAGTTCGTGTCCTATTATCATCCGGAGACAGAAATAACAGATTCAGTGCGGTACGAACAATGGTTCGATTGTCAACACGTTGTAATGTGTCACTTTATGGCCCGAGTCAATGAAAAACCAATACAGAGTTGACTTTACGAATTAACCATCGCGTGGTATTTGAAAACAATTCTTTGATGAAAGCCAAATTAAACCATTCATATTTGACATTGGTAACATGGCAATCGTGAGTCAGAATCCCAGTATATCGGTGAAGAGCACCCTTGGGAGACAGTGTCATAACGCTGACTGGTTTCAGGACACTGATGGGGAGTTGCAGCTGTTTCTGGTTATGTCATCACGATGAACAATGGACACGCTACTGGCAGGTTCGGGAAGGCTCCTCCATATTTCCACTACTACACAATGACAGGTGGAGCGGCAAGACATTAGGTTGTTCAGGTGATTAGGTCATGAAGGCAGACTTACATGAATGAGTTTGACGCGCCAAGGGAGTTGTGATGGATATGAGGTGGACAGGTGCGTTATAGTGTCGCAAATGTGGTGACATGTTTACTTAATTAACCCAAAGTGTTGCATATCATGTATGTATGGAAACGGAGATTTAGTTAAACTGGGATGATATCAGTTTGTTAATGCTGAAAAATGGTCGACTAATAGAAACACCTCTTTCTCTCTCTCCATGTCTCTCTGTTGTCTTTGTGTGTCTCTGTGTTTGTGTGTGTATGTCCCTCTATCTCTATGTCTCTCTCTCTCTCTCTCTCTCTCTCTCTCTCTCTCTCTCTAAGGTCATATACAGTGTCTCGTGTATTTCGCAATAGAACGAAATTACCGTAGATAATATATTATGAGTCGCACATGAAAGAGAAAGGACTGATTCAGTTGGAACCATGAGTGCTGGCAGTACAGTGAAGTGATCTTGTACTATCACTCACGTGTATTTGTAAAGTGAAAGAATTTTGTGAGTAGGATGAAGAAATATGGAAAAATGAGCCAGCTGTGTTTGTAAGAGGAAGAAATATTGCTGCCCAATGCCATCAGCAGGAAAAACACTAAATGGTTAAGTACAGTGACAAATATTTGTTGTTAAGAGAAAATTATACCTGATTGTTTACAATGATCCACATGGCAATAGAAAGATATGACAAGGTACAATGACCAATTTGTATTTGAGGAGAAAAAAAATATTTTGAATTACGTCTATTACCAGGAGAAATGATAATACATGTTTGCTTTTGTAATGTCGACATGTGATGCCAGGAGAATTGATTGATTGTTAACAATGGCCTACGTGTGTTGGCTGAAGAAAGAAATGTCTGTGTATGATCATGGGAGATATAATGGTAAATGGTGGTCTACACTGACCTGCTCGTCATTATAGGAGAAGTTCATGATATTTTACAGTGATACATGTTTGAGGGAGTATATATCTGACGTCACATCGGCTACTTAGCTGCTTAGTGACACATGTGTTGCCAGGAGAAATAAAAGTTCGCTTGCAAATAATATTTTGTTAAAAGAAACAAATCAGCATTGACATATAGGTGATGCTTCGTGTAGAATCGTGTGAAGTATTCGACACAGATTTCTCACCAGCAATCATGTAAAATGAGTCTCAACCGTGCAGATCTTACCGTGTATATGTGCCTGACTAATTCATTTACAAATGGTACGGTAACATGATTCAAAAGACATCACAGTCAAAAGAGCAAACACTTAATCCTTGTTATTTATTGAAGATCATATATATGTGTTAAGATTTACATTTTTATTGGCAGTAAACAATCCTGGTTATTGAGAAACGCCACCGATAATATCATCCTCATAAAAGCCTAGTTTTGTTTTTGGTACATATTGTATATACAATGTGCCATGTATTCATATTGTAGCTCGGTTGACGATTTACTCGCAAATACCTAAAGCACCGTTATAATATTCCAGTTTTGACATGAACAAACAATACGTGTGAAGTATTTGATGTTTAAAATAGCATGACAAAAATAGATAACGGACAAGTAGACAATTGTAGACATGGATGCACTGTCTACTCGAAATGACAGAACCATATACAGTTGATGGTGTACCCACTCAGTCTCCATCGCTTCCACGCCATTATGACTAGATCCCCATTGACATTCTGAAATATCAATTGCTGAAACAACATCCCTTATGGGACAAATATCAAAGGTTTTTACCATCAGCGTACGATAGGAAAGAGTTAGGTTTTGGACTCAATGTCAACTCTATCATGATTTGGTAGCTTAATAATGGAAGATCCACTGGTGCCTGTGGGGATTCGGGTATCATAGAGACCATGCTGATCGTAAAACCGGAAGATAATGGTCGGGTTGGATGCGTGACATCCTACCCTGATGATCCTACCCATCCTACCCTGATGATCCTACCCATCCTACCCTGATGAACCTACCCATCCTACCCTGATGATCCCATGATGATCCTCCCCATCTTACCCTGATGATCCTACCCATCCTACCCTGATGATCGTACCCGGATGATCCTACCCTGATGATCCTACCCTAATGATCCTACCCATCCTACCCTGATTGCTCATAATGTCAGTCGCTGGATTGTGTAGTCCAAGCGGGTAATGCCCAGTTAAAACGGTTGTGTTGGCAGAGAAGAATTATGCTGAACAAACAAACAAACAAATAAATAAGCAAACAAACAAATAAACAAACGGAAAAGCACCAAGAACTGCCGATCTGGTTTTAGAATCCAATACAAAAAGCCAAACCTACAATCTTCACAGTAAAAAGTTCCAGGAACTTTATTTGTTTCATTCTTCAGTGTCCATTAAAAGCCGGCTCTAATGACGCTATATGTATTCCGAACATGTAAAGTGTCTGCATGTAGATACGTGTACGACGTCTGTAGAGAACTTCGTTCCAATAACCTGTTCGTTCTTGATGCAGTCCAGCTGAATAAAACAGGCTTGCTTCGGATGTTCAGTAGGAATACATTCTTATGCAGTAGAATCGGACTCAGATGACATGATAGAGTATTGGCGGTCTCAGGGTACGGCGGATCCTGTGTTGAATATATGCAATCGTTTATACCCTAGAGGTGAATTATAGAGCATTTCAGTTCGGAATTTAGATGGGAATTGACCGACTGAGTATCATGTGCTTCAGTGACTGATAACTGCCTTGAGTCTGGTTTGTGTAGCTCCATATCGTAACCTTTCTATGGTTGGAGAGAGACAGTGTGTTTAGTTTGTACGCCGGTTGTAGCAATATTCCAGCAATATCACGGCGGGGGACACTAGAAATGGGCTTCACACACTGTACCCATGTGGGGAATCGAACCCGGGTCTTCGGTGTGACGAGCGAACGCTTTAACCATTAGGCTTCCATACCGCCCTTCTATGGTTGGAATGAGAAGAGAGTTGAACCTACACGATGTCCGACCTGCGGTAGCCTAGTGGATATTGTGTTCAGGTTTCATTCTGAGTGAGTTTAAGATTTACGTCGCACTCAGCAATATTTAAGTCATATGACGGTGGTCTGGAACAGACAATCAGAAGTTACTGAAAATCGGTTCTAACCCGGATCGTCACGGGTTTGATTGTGGATACTCCAGCATCATATTTTTGCAAGTTTTGAGTACAGTCAAGCTGTTTTTACAAGGATTTCAAAGAACGCCACACGGCAAACGTTTTGGACCAAGGTTGCAGCGTCCAAGGATTCCTCACAGCATTCAGAATGCT